ATAAAGCAAAACCGAGCACTAGTAGAAGAAGTTCGGGAATCTATCAGGTAGATAGACATCATAGAGCACGTTTTAAGGTTGTCCCTTAAGACATGAAATCACATCTGTGTGGGTGGCCAGTTCTAGAGACTGGGTACCAAACTGGTTAGTTTACGTTCGAGCGAGCAGATGTTTCGGCTTATTTTGGCATTTTTTAGGCTTCTTTCAATATCGGACTTTCTTTTTGTACTGGTACACATATCTTTTTTGGGCTTGCAAAAAAAAAACACAACTAAAAAACGCCAAACATAAGCAAAAGTCCAAACCTCTGCTTGGAGCAACATTCGCTGTAACAGTCGCTACCGAACAATTACTGTGGGCCTGAGCTGAGAGGACTATTAAATAATGAACCAGGATGGTACGCAGGCTATATAGCTAGAGCAGTTCTATAAGAAGAGACATCTAACATACCTTGTCACAACGTATTGGAGTAGATGCGTTCCACAGGGTATGAATTCCTAGCGAAGGAAAATGTCGCGCTTCAGTCACCCAGGTTGTCTGTCTACGGAGGTGACTCTATTCTTGTCCGAGCACCCTGTTTTCCCCGGGCAAGATATTTGGAAAGGTTGGCAGACACAAACAATACAGCACAGCCCTTCAATTTGCTGCGATTGGATGTTTAAATCTGACATCTGGGTCTGATTGTACAGCCCGTGGATCGAAAGGTGACCCGACCTTTTCATGGGAACACCACATAGCCTGGAGTCCAGCCATCTTAGATTCATCTTAGCTTTGGTCCGCTTCCCAAGATCCGCTACCCAGCCAACAGGTGCGGGGCAGCGGATCTTGAGGAGTGGACCTTAACAAGGCTGGACTCCAGGCTAGCCTAGCCTGGGTACCATCCGGATTTTCGCTTCGCAACGCTCGAAAAACATTTTCCGGATGGTACCCAGGCTAAGGCTAGATATCACAGGGTCGAAAGTTGAGCTAGGGGTTCGCGGAAAAGGCCGGGTAGCCAGCCCAGGCATGTGGGTATACGGAAAAGGTGAACTGGGCCCCATACGTGCGGGACTACCTTGAAGTGCTACCTTGTCTTTACGGCTGTGGGTAGGCTGTTTGTGGGTAGTGGATGTGTGTGGTTATTACTGTTATTAGCAACTCAAACCTAGTATTTATAACTTCAACTATGTACTTGTGAAGAGAAATACCGTTTGCAACAAAGGAAATTTGCATGACAAATGTTTTAAAAGGTTATAATAGTCATTAAAATACTTTGGTGTGTTACACCGAAGGACGGCTATACCGGCTATACCGATACAGAAATGACTTTATCTTATGTTTCCATTTAAATCTACTGAATACAACAGCTCAGGTAGTATAGAGAATATTCAATCAGGATACAATAGCAGAAAACACTATTCCATATCGGTGTCCGCATTGATGCAATCATAGCCCTAGTGTTACATACAGACTGTCATACACATACTGGTACCTAGATTTTAGCTGAGAACGCTATACTCACTTCATTCTACACCCCAATTCTTGCCTATATCATTCGCGTCTAGGTTCCAGACATACACACTGACAGCAGTGGGATTTTGTATGATATATTTTTCTGTTCCTTGATCTTTGAACAATTGGTTATAACCATAGAAAAATCCTGGTGGATCTCTGAACATCTAGAAACAAGCCATGATTTACATGTTCGATGTCTAAAACAAGTTGGTGGTTACTGGTCAGAGGACATTAAGCCCCCACTTGGGTTTGATACTATTGTGTGAACATACTATGATACTTCATTACACAGTTGTAATAGGTGCTTTACATCAATGAAAAATGTAGGATAAAGAAATTAGGACCAATGTCTTTCAGGGTGCCTTTTGATTGGCAACATGCTGGATCTACATGTATTTACCTAACCTTAATTACAGTGCATACAATTAGTATATAACATATAACATGCTTGTAAGTATATCTGCAGAATAGCCTTGCCATCATAGATCTGGTGCCGTCAAGCTCATTGGCACAAAACTGCTGATGTGTGTCTAATCTCCAATCAGATCTTTGGGTCATCTAAGATTATCAAGTTCCCTAACAGTCGTTCATTCAATGGTAGTGGCTGAAACACATCATTTTCTTCACTAACATCTGCTTGGAAATGGATGTTCATATACCTGGACTTGAAAAGACTATTTGAGAGAATTATGAGAACAGTTCTATTTGCATATGCAATGATCCTTTTCCTAGAAATTGTGAGCAGACCAGATCATTACAATTAATCTTTCAAAAAGTAAAGCGTTGTCGTGGTCAATTTGGCCATTCAACTATGGAGTTCTAATGGCTTCGTATTTCATCATCATGGCATTTGAACGTATAGTGTTATTTTAGGCTTTTCTTTTACCTTGGGAGTAACATGGTATCTCCAGGCACTTTTTGCACTTTGTTAACACCTTTCCCCTGCATCTCTCACATACATTTGGGCTGTGAGTCAAGTTGAGTCAGAGTTTCGATCGAGTCAATAGACTAATTGATTACCTCCTCTTTCTCCAGTGCTTCAAGGTCCCGGCAGTACCACCCGACACTGCTCTTCGTGGTTTGGAGGAAGCTGTGGCCGAGTATGGCAAAGGGGAGGGGCGTCCGCCTTGGTAACATGTGTCCATATGCGTAGTTGTAATTGAAAATGGTGCCCACGATGCCCTGACCATTCATGCAGCGGAAACTGCGAAAGACGTACGCGTCCTCTTTCCAATCTCGTTCATTGCCCTTACTTAGGGTCTCTTCTTCGGCATCGAAGATGTATAGGCCGTCATACTTTGTACAACTGGTACGGATATACAGTTTGCCCTGGACAGTAGTCGCGATAATGTCAACGCGCTCCACAGATCGCCTGGGAACGTAGGTATCGGCGCGTCGCCAAACATTGGTTTTCACATCTAACGAATGGACACACAGTTTTTCTTGATTCCTACTTCGCTGGCCATGGATCCTATATCCCCTGCGAGCATCGAGCAACAACGAAGAGCTGAACCGTACGTCAATCGGACGATCATCGGTGCCTTTCTGCACTTCGATGAACAAAACCTTGTCCCTGAAGGCCGTTACTTTCAGGGTTGATGCAGTGCGCAATGGCGGTCGAACAAGTATCTTTATCCAAGCTCCCTCTACAGGATCATAGCAATCCATGGTCATCGAAGACGTCGCCTCAGCGTCACCACCGACCACGAAGAGTTTCCCGTCAACGACTACTGACTGATGCCTTGCCCTGCCGCGAGGCATGTCGGGCAGCCTCAGCCAAGTGTCCGAAGGGAAATCGTACCGAAAGGCTTGCTTGGATGGGGCAGAATGGGGGCCCTGGCCGAGTAGAGGATAGACCCGCCCACCTGTCACGTACAGATGTCTCCCTGCACTTGCAACGCTCATGTAGCCGGAGACAGGCGTTGGGAGGGTAGTGATGTGGTAGAATTGTTCACTGTCTGGATCAAAGCAAATTATGCATTGTAGGGGCGTCGCCTGTGAAAGGATAAACTGCTCGTCGTGAGGATTGACTTGTTTCTTGACTGCTTTCCAGCCACCCACAATGGTTGCTAAGTTGTCTTGTGTTCCATGCCTGCGACTACTCTCATCTTCTCCCTGTACGTCTGTACCGAGAAGATGTTTTTCCTTAGCTGCTGTGATTTTTGCCAGGCATTCCGCGGACCCTTGTATCACAGGGTGTAACTCCAGCTTCTGTAGCACGCTGACCCTCACGCACGACAGACGGATCTCTTGTAAAATCCTCAGGGTTGCTTTTTGTTGGTTTCCGGGGTTTTCGTCGAGCCATCGGATTACAGAATTGACAACGTCGTCTTCATTGGTGACTTTCAGATGCTCGTCTCCGAGTAGATCTGCGAGCTCTTCCGCTGAAAGGTTCAGGAACTCCTCTTCCTGTGTGACGTCTGAGAAGTTTAACACTGTCATGTCCCTTGCTTTCTTTTTTAAGGCAGAAAAACCATAAAGGTCGGCCAGACTCATGACGCCCAGACAGTTGGACTGACAGAGGTTGTCTTGGATGAACTCACGGCAGTACTCCACTATCTTCTCCAACTGAAGCATGTGTGCCGTCTGCAAAATGTCCTGGACGTCATCTTTACCGATGCGGATTTCCCCGGTATACAGGAAGTCCAGGATCTTGGAGAAGCTGGTGGAGTCTATCCCGCACAATTGTATGACCTCTGAATCACTCTCGGAGAGGTTGGACGACAGCATGGTCTTGAAGTACCGCGTGGATGCCAACACGGCCCGGTGACAGGGGAATTCCTTACCCTCGACTTGTACCACCACATCAAGGAATTCTCTGGTCTCACGCTGACTGGCAAGTTCAGCAAGGAGCTCGCGTGCATGGGCATAGTTGTTGAAGAGATCGCGACGGGAACGTGGCATACGTAGGGGTGGTATACGTACTGGCGGCGGCGGCGGCGTACTGTCATCAGATTCCATATAGCACCTTCTGCGGTATGGTGGGAGTACTGGCGGCCTTGGACTGTCGTGGCACGGGTTATCAGGTGCAGAATCAGTCAAGGTCATAGTACTAATCTGGTCCAATTCATCATAGTCGTATCCATAGACGTCGACAAGGGGGCCGTCATCTGATTCTCTGTACATGTCTCTCCTTCTGCGGGCCATTGTAGGGGTTAACACCCTTGTACTGTCGTGGTACGGGTTATCAGGTGCAGAATCAGCCAAAGTCAATACACTAACCCGTTCTATATCATAGGTATAGTCGTAAAAGGTATAGTCGTCGTCGTCACTCGAGGACATGCACATGGCGGCGGTTCACCTGGTATTCTATGATATCTGCTGGACAGAAAAACAGGGAAGTTTTAACATGGCTACAGGGAGACAATCTTGCGACGCAAGTCAGTACGTATGCATGTACAATATATCAAAGTCCACCATCAAACCTCATGAAGCTAGCTAGCCCACCAACCTGCAAATGATTCCAATGTTCAGCCCTGCTTTCCAGCAGAACAGCAGTGTTTTGGGGGTTTGACAATTCTTCACTTCATACACGTCTAAATGCATGGAATGCTATCAAGATACATATAGCTCGAACAAGAACCGACCGAGACCAGGAAATGTTCCTTTTAACGTGACAACTTCTGCATAACAGTTTCGGAGCGCACGGGCTTATGGGTACTCTTTTATGCCTTTTTTTTTACTTCTTTCAAAAGCAAGCCCAGTTTATGATAGCATGTGTACTTTGTTTTTGCTATTTTTCAGTTTGTATGTCCTCCCAAGGGAAAGTATGATTCCAAAGAGAAAGAACCGGTAGCACGTAGACCCTTGTATGCCTCAATGGAGATTGTTATAACGTTAATCATTATAAGGTCTACAAATAGACGACTTGGCGCATTTGAATATAGAGCCGGTTTGAACAAGCCAACATTCATAAATACGAGACGATATGATACACTAAACCAAACTAGATGGATTCCTGCAGGTTCATACAGTCTATGAATTTATGCACAAGTTTAATCACATCTTCTAGTAAGTATTTCCCCACTTTTGCAGTCAGCCTGGGGATCAGCCCTTTTTTTGTAACGGGGCTTCTCGCACTCGAGCTCGCTACCCCGAAAAAAAACGGATGTCGGTGCAGCCCTAGCCTGTGTTTACTCAGTCGCTCGCTGGCTTCAATTAATTGACACCCCCTCCCCGAATTGTCAGGCGGGCCGGCCGCTAGGAGCTTTACTTAGTCAGACTACTACATGCGGTATTGACAGCATCAGCATTTCGTTATTACCTTCGCCAAGAAGGTTATGTTTTCAGTAGCGTTTGTCTGTGTGTGTGTGTGTGTGTGGGTGTGTTTGTGTGTGTGTGGTTTAGCAAGATAACTCGAGAAGCAGTGGATGGATTGGAATGAAACTTGGTAGGTGGGTAGGTCTTCATGAGACCTAGAAATGATTAGATTTTGGCCCCCTTGCGGCTTTCCTAGGTACTGCAGCTGAACTTCCGGTTTTGATATCTCATGTTCTGGACATGCTAGGGTCATGAATTTTGGTTGGTAGATAGCTCTTGGGGTAGGGAAGACGTGACATGAGTTTGGGTCCCCTAGCGCCTTGTTCTAGAACTGCAGGAGCATTTGTTGAAAAAAAAATTGAAGGACGATAACTCAAGAACCGGTTGACGTATTGTCGTGATTTTCGGTATGTAGGTAGTTGAAGTGATGCTGGACATAATCAGATGGCAATTATGCAAATCAGGAGCTAATTTGCATAATTAATGAGGAAATTCTATAAATCTGCTTTGTTCGATAATAGAACTATGAAACACTTGTGACATCTACTTGAGAACGAGAAAAACATCTGAGGATATAGATTATGTAAATGAGGACCTAATTTGCATAATTAATGGCAAATTCTTATAATTCCATAGTTGTAACTGCTGCACCCCGAATTTCATACTTGCCACATTTGGAAGTTAAGTGAAGGTGAACATCAATAAATGTAATTTATTCAAATTTTGACCTGATTTGCATAATTTATGAGGAAGTGCTATAATAGCCTTTTTCTTATGATAAGGCTGTCATTGGATGGAGAATATGATCAACTAATCCATGCAAATGAGGCTCTTATTTACAAAATCAATGATTAAAATTGTATAATTCGTCACCCGCAAGGGTTAACATCATTTGGCGAAGGTTTGAGATCGTGGAACTCTTGTTGATCTATTTTTTTCTGTTCTTTGATCTTTGAACAATTAATCATTAGCATAGAAAAAAATCCAGGTAGATCTCTAAACATCTGGCTTCACAGAGGCGAGTTGTAGTACTCCAGTCATAAGCTCTGGCGAAGGTGTCTGATAGACGAACCGCAAGATGAGAAACGTTACTAGCTATGAAAAGCAAAATTCCAATATCCTATGTTCTACCAACCTGGTGGAACTTTTTTCAGCCGTATAAGGCCGTTTTCCCATCTCAAGCTCTCTTGGTGGCCATTATTTGTATACACACTAAAACCATTTGCATATACATCTAAAATGTTATATATCAGTTTTAACATGACTATAGACACAATTACTGTAAGTCTACAAATTTCCGCGGTATATTTAGATTCGCGGATTTCGCGGGGACGTTTGTACCGCGAATCTATTTCCCCGCGAATATGTTTTGCGTAAGTGTGCCCCCCTCCCCACATGCATTCAGGACGGACTTCGAGTTCAAGCGAAACACACGATCCACATATCACCGCAAATCAACTTTATTCTTAGCAGATGTACGTAGTTGAGTACTGTATCAAAACTACTAGTATACAACGCAAGTCAGTACGCATGCATATCGAAGTATATTTACGATTAACATGGCTTATGAAGCTAGTCCACCAACCTGCAAATTGCAATGCTCAGCCCTACTTTCCACAGAGAACAGTAGTGTTTGTTATTCGACGGTTCTTCACTTCATAGACGTCTCAGTGCATGGAATGCTATCAAGACACATATAGCTCGGACAATATACAAGAACTGAATGGAGACCAGGAAATGTTCCTTTTATCGTTACAACTTCTGCATAACAGTTTCGGAGCGCGCGGGCTGATGGTTACTCTTATATGCCACCATTTTTTTTCTCATTTCAAAAGCAAGCCCAGTTTATAGTAGCAGGTGTACTTTGTTTTTGCTATTCTTCAGTTTATATGCCCTCCCAAGGTAACAAATTGCTTTCAAAAAGAAAGAGCCGGTAGTACGTTGACTCTTGTGTGCCGCAATGGAGATTGTTATGATAACGTTAATCATTATAAGGAGTACAAATAAACCATCGTACTTGGCGCATTCAAATGTAGAGCTGGTTTGCACAAGTCAACAAGGAGACACTCATACATGATGATACACTTGACCAAACTTGAATTGCTGCAGGTTCATACACTCACGTTAGATTAAATCTTTTAGTAAGTATTTTTTCCATAATTGCAGCCCTTAATTAGCCTGGGTGCCACCCGTTTTGTAACGGGGCTCCTTGCACACGTACACGGGTACAACATGGGATGGCTCCCAGGCTATGCACCCCTGCCTGTGTTTATTCTAGCTCGTGATCAATCTCTCCCTATATAAACTGGGGTTAATGGATGAAACCCCTAGCCTGATGTCCAGCCTTGTTAGCTTTAGTCCTCTCCCGAAGATCTTGGGGAGCGGACTGAAGCTAACAAGGCTGGACACCAGGCTATGAAACCCCCGGCCCTCCCTGTCAGGCGGGCCGGCCGCTAGGGGCGCTATTTAGTCAGGCTATTGCAAGCCCTAAAACTAAAAGTTAAGACTTTGAATTGGCACAAATTTGCAGTAGATCGTTCACCTTGGCACAATTCAGAGCTCACAAACTGACAGCAAGAACCCTATACCCTCTTCAATATACCCCCATTATTGCTTTGAAGGTACTAGTACCATTATTTCATTTACGCCTTGATTCCAGACAATATATACACACTGACGACATCAGCATTCCGTCTATTGATTTATTTTTCTGTTTATATTCTGAACTTTAAACAAATGATTATTAGCAAAGAAAAAAATCCGGTTAGATCTCTAGCTAAACATCCGGAAATAAGCTATGATTTACAAACAAGAATAGTGGTGGTTATCATAATGGTGGCTACTGTTCAGTTTAAAGGACATCAAGCGGTCCAACTTAGGTTCTGGTTATGTGACCATATATACTTAATAAGGTACTTGCATTAATGAAAAAATCTAGGATAAGATAAAATACAATTCATGTCTTTTATGATCAGTTACATGTTGGGAACTGAGAACAGCATCTTAGAACAGACCCTATTGACAATGTTAATCACAATATACCAGCAGTAATTATTTGCCCTTTACCATTCTTAGCATAAATCCAAAATGTTCACATCTGTTTGTAAGCGCATGAAACACAAGAATAGCCTTGCCACAGTACCGTGATCTCAGGTGCTGTAGAGCTTACTTTTTTTGGCACAAAATAGTAGTAGTTATGTTTATCTTACTAGCCTCCGAGCAGATCTTGGGGTGAAAGGTGATCACATTCTCTGATCAACCAGATTTTCTGGCAGTCCTTCAGTCTTGAAATGATGTTATTTAACGTTATTAAGTGTTTGGCCTCTGCCTGTCTCACAGACTAAACGGGAATTCGGAGCCAACTCGAGTCATTCAGAACGGCGTAGCTCCAGTAGGCACACTGAGTGACCCCGGCTCTCGTTTGCCGAGCCGGGGTCACTCAGTGACACCTGTCAGTGACGTCTCTTTCAAATCCTGGCATCTTGTTTTTTTGCTCTTAAGTTAGATGTAGGGTCTCAAGAGGACGTCATCCATAAAATTTACTTGCGGCATAAACGGTTTATTCCATTTACTTGCATCCTCAAATTGTAGTTCAGTTTTACATACACTTGTATGGAAGCCTGCCATATACATTTAATCAAATG